TCTAGAGTGACTTTTCCAAAAGACCTACTTGCCCCTTGCACTGTGTACCTCTGAGGAGCTCTCAAATTCTCCTCCAGACACACGCAAGCTAAATGCTGTTATTCTTTTGAAATATCTTCCTCTTCGCACCGCTAAGGAATTGAGTAACAATGGTCTCACAATACGCCTACAAACAACCTGGTGATGTTGGCTCAGATGGTCCCCTTGATGGTGATCTTCGGGGCTGGAGATCCCGAAAGAGCTGCAAATGGCCCCTGAAAACCACTTTTTAGACTTTCTGGTGTCTACGTTTAACGTTACCCCACTCAGTTGCTTGACTCAAAACATTTAAAAATTCTATTTCTTAACTGAAGTAAAAGAAAGAGAAAAATCATTTGTAGTAATAGTTAAAAAAAAATTCCTTGCTTTCTGTAGATGAATTCTATACCAAATACATCCTTTGTGACTCCCTACCGTTTCCGTGAAATTCTTGTTCCTTCTGAGGTGCTGTATCTGAGGGTTAACGTGACTGTTGTCTGAAATGCATGTGGAAGCGTCACTGCAGTGGCTGAGAAACGACCATGTTTCCTTTGAGTTCTCGGCCAGAGTAATTGAACGCAGAATATCTTACTAAACGCTGGACTGTGACAGTGTGTTAACACTGTCTCCTAACAGCAGGGCAATTATTTGCTGCGTGGGGTTTTTATCAATCCCCTGGCACTAGTATGTCCTGATAATTATGACAAAGTGCATTGGTCAGTGTTGCTTCGGCAGTCCCTACCCTCCAAGTACCTCACCCACACTCCTCTGTCCCACTTTCGCTTCTCTGGTTAGTAGACATCTTTACTGCTCTTCTCTACTTGCTTACTGTCTTTTTTGTTAAAAGCATTTTCCGATTACAACCTAGAAGCCAAGTATATTTTAGAAAGCCCTCCACTTAGAAGCATTTATTTCTTACAGTTTTCACAGATTTTGAATCAAGTGACAAGAAAGTAGTTTTTAATTGTGTTCCTTTTTGTGGCAACGAGTGACTTCCTCCAGTTTGTTGTGTAATTGTCATTTGCGAAAACAAAACTCGAGTTCTCCCGCTTACGCTGAACACTTAGTAGGCCGTTGTTACTGTGCGAAGCAGTTACTTTGGAATCATGAGAAAATATTATTTCTCAGATGGTGAACTATGAAATTGAAACAGCAGTAATTGTGACTTGGGAATTACAGGTGCACACAATTTTGTTTCAAATTCTTCATATTCTACAGAAATGTGTGTGAAGAGTAAACCTCACTAACAAAGAGAAGAAATAAAAATGAGAGTATAGCTTCCCCCAGGCAATTACCAAATAAAGGTCAGCGTGTAAGTGGAAAATGACCATAAAAAAAATTCTTTCTTGATATAAAACCGTAAACGCTCCAAATATAACAAGTATATCCATTTGTTTCAAATCAATTGCATTTTTAAAGTGCTTTTTCATAGTATACTTAAGTACAAGAATAAAAACTGAGAAGAAAAAAGCCAGCTGATAGATTGTTAGAAATACGGAATGGTTCAAAATATGAATCTGATGCTCAGGGTGACTGGGTAACAAATGGTACATCTGCTCGCTGCTCAACCTGCCGTAATTAATATTCTAGGTCATGCTTAAGTTCCCATGATGGAGCGTCTGAAGGGGGGAATTCAAGAAAAATATATATCTATTATAGAACTCATTGCCTTTTTCCCCCCTTTCTGACGAGTCAGAATCATAGCCTTTAAAAAAAAATCAGTGCTTTCACACTTCATTTGCCGTATTCACCACTGGGCCACCAGTCAGCAGCCGGCCCTGATGCAGGGAGGTCAGTAAGAAGCTATTAGCAGAGTCCTCTCCGGAGATTTCTTGGGTCTTATTGAGTTGGATGTTAGCATGACAGTACTGCAAATAACTCAGTTGTAGTTTTTTTTTTTTTTAAACACTTAGCACAGATTTCCCCATAGTGTTGGTCACTCTAGAAAATTATTGCTGAAAATGAAGTCCCAGAAAGCTAGCCTGACAGTAGCCCTTCTAAGTTGTGAAAAACGTGAAAACTGAACAATATGTCATAGTCCCTTAGGGTTACCTTTGTCCTTTGTGGCACATACTAGTGTTTTTAAAAATCAACAACAAACCATTATTCTTAGGTGGTTTACATATTATGAAATATGGCAATCACGACAATAGTAAGTTAAGATTATTTTATTTACTTCAATAATAATTAAATGAGTACTGGATCAATATAAATAAATACGGTATGTTCTTGCTGTAGGGATTGAGGGAGAGCTGGACTGTTTTCATTGACGTAAGTTATCAAATATATTAATTTCTAAAATGCTGACACCTTGAAGATTTTGAATGGTACATTTTAAATTCAATTAAAGTATATTTTCTATCCATATTTGATTTAAATTGCAAAGAGAATACACATGAGGAGGTCTCCATATAGGTTGCAAAATATAATTTAAGAAAGCTATCATGTCTACTGATGTATTTGCATTTCCCATCTAGCCTATGTATACACGTGCATGCAAATATGAAAGAGATCAAAGAAGATTCCTGATGGAGTCAAGCTAATAGCTGGTAGCAGTTATTCAGGTAGATAGATATTTTTAGGTGATGAATTATAATCTAGTTAAGTTGTATATATTTCACCATTTTAATCTCTAAGGTTGTAGAAATTTTAGTAATAAACATAGACATCAGCTTAATTAAATCATCGCTATCGTATCGGTATTATCTTATATTTCTTTCTTAGACTATGTAGATGTAGTTGTATTTTATGACAGAATTGCCTTTTTTAATATAACATTTATTGTTCTGACTTATTACAATTGATACATGCTTCTCTTAAGAAATCACATTCAAAATCATCTTAAAAATTACCATCCACTTAAAAATCACTATCTTCTGAAAGCTATTGTGAGTATATATATATATTCTCTTTCTAATATTCAGTTATATTGTCTGTCTGTATATCCATCCTGTTCTATGTTTAGAGTTATAGTGAGAGAATGCTAACATAATATTAAAAATGGCTTTTACAACTGTCTTCAAGTTTTCAGTACAGTGATTTTTTTCTTGTATCAATTAAACAGGAAGAAGAAATCTCAAAGAAGAGCCAGTTCAAACGTATTTAAAAAATATGTAAACGTGTTTACATTAACTTACTTATATCTCTTAAAATTCATTTCCTAATTACAAAATAGGAAATGTTGAGTTGGAGGTGGCTCAGCTGGGTCGGTAACAATTTAGTTCTAGAAGATCACAATGTTTTTGAAAGCAAATTGAAACTGATATGTTAAGGAAGATAAAAAGAGTATACGGTATTTTTATGCAAATAACACATGACTTCTATGTGTGTTTGCCAACTGTGCCCTCCCCCCAAGAGGTATTTTCTTAAGCATGCTATGCTAATTTTTCTTACAGCAACATGTAAAAAAAAAAAAGATTGGCATAGTGGTGCTTACGAAAATACCTCGCGGGGATAGGACACGGTTGTCAAACAAATGTAGAAGGCACGCATTATTTGCATAAAAATACGGTAATCTATAAAGTTCTTTGAAAGCCGTCAATAAGATTTTGAAATAAATCTCAAACTTTTTATTAAGATATGTATGTGACTTTTGAAGAGTAAAATGGAGATTTTCAAGGGCCTTTCTGAACTGTACATTGTTATTCTAGATTAGCATTTCCCATTCATTTATTGAGTGTCTTCTATGTGCCAGGCACTCTGCTAGGCCTTGGATGCAAAATACATAAAAGAGTCCCCAGTTCTTCAGCTACTTGCTTGGGTAAGACTGGCACACGCAAAGATAACTATGCCACAGTGTGAAAAGTGCTGTGATAGACATATCCCCAGGCTAGTGAGGAAGAAGTAGGGTTAGGAGACCAAATCCAGCCTGGGTAGGCTCTAAGATAGAGATAACACTTATCTAAGTGTTAGGCTGAAAATATAAACTTTTCTAGAATAGTTTTTCAAAGATAACTATCCTAGTTAATTGGAATACTTCAGAACTTCCAATTCCTTGAGATAAATGAAGCAACCAGGAATGTTTATGGATAAGATGGTGGCGTAAGATAAACAGCACAGTTTTAGGAAGAGCAGATAGGTTTGATGAGTACATTCTTTACATTAGTCCAGAGTGTCTACAGAGCAACTAAACAAGTCATGCTATCATTTAAAATGTAACATTTGCCTCCAGAATATGTATCTGTGTATATGAACAACGTATCAAAATTCAGTTCTATGCAGTTGGTGTACTTTCCATTGTATTTTCAGAAAATGGACAACTGATAAACTTGAATTTAACATTCATCATGTATAAATCCATTGAAGCTCTATTGTGTGGCAGGGACTGTACTATGTACGTCTTGACTCTACTTTGATGCAGTGTGTTTCAAGGTCAATGATAGCACAGGAAGGGTAATGTGGGACTACAGAAGTATAACAGCTAGCTACATGACTACAGCTCGTTAAATTTAGTACGATATTTTGAATAATACATAATACAGTATATATATGATACCATTTGGATTATAATTTTAAAGCACAGAACTTAAAATTACTGCCATTAGGATGTGTAATGAATAATCATTCAAACAGTCAAGTTTGTACCCAAAACTGGTTATGTATTTGAGTTTGTTGAGAGGGTATACGACTTACCGATTCTGTTAAATATGCATAATATATGGCTAAAGTACAAAATGGATAGATTAAGTTCCTTCTGTTATTTTTTTCTTAAATACAATTATATAAAACAGGCCACCTGTGGCAGAAACTATAGCTCAGTAGTTCGTAACATGTTCAGATCCTGAAGTTGTTGCTCTGGAGTGGAGTCAAAGTGTGAATATTTGATAAAATCTCCTTAATGAATATGAAGTCCACCCCTGGTTAAGAACCACATTTGTAGTTTAAAATATTCCTTAAACATATGAAAAATGTCATGGTCCAACTTTCTTTTATTTCATATGAAAATTCGAGATGAAAATCAGAATTGCCTTCTTTTTTTTTAGATTCCAGGTATATACAATTCGCCATTCAGAAAAGAGCCTGACCCGTGGGAATTGCGGTTACGGAAGGCAAAGCCTTTGACCCACCGAAGAGCGGAAGTTACGCAGAAGTGCTGCATAAACCTTGGTGATTGGTTAGCTTGTACGAGCTCCCGTTCTTTCCCTCGGTCTGAAATTCTGCCACCCATTAATAGGAAGCAATGTCAGGTACTAATTAGTACTGTATCAGAATTCTGGCAATGATTGTGTTCTTGCTGTTTTTTTCTTTTAAGTTAATCATTTTGTTTTGTCTCTGCAACAAAAAATTATTTTTACAGACTCTAATTTTAGACAATAAGTGTAAGAAGCTTTTAAGATACATGCCAAAAAAGTATTCAAATGCTTCATTAGCACTGAACTTTGGTGTGTTGAATATGGAGTTGAAACATGGATTATTGGCTAGAATCTAGACTTTTTAATGTAAAAATATTGTTATAGCAGTACTTGTTATAACCTATTGTTGCTGGAAGAATCTTTATGTATTTCTTTCAAATTTGTTTAACTTAACCTCTCAACTAATGATCCATAGTTTTATATCTTTTTAAAAAAGCAGTTGCCATCAAGTAGATTTCTACTCATGGCGACCCCATGTGTGTCAGAGTAGAACTGTGCTCCGCAGGGTTTTCCGTGGCGGATTTTTTAGAAGTAAATTGGCAGACCTTTCTTCTGAGGCACCTCTGGGTGGGCTTGGGCCTCCAACCTTTTGGTTAGCAGCCAAGTGCGTTAACCATTTGCACTGGTAGCTTCATGAGCTGCCTTTCCCACCCCCAGCCATTTAATCACCGTTGCAGTAAGACAACCCTTCATTCTATGCCGTAAAATATTTTCCTGCTTTACTGAAATTATTTGTGATATGTTGTGTTTCCACTTTCGATAACTGGGCCCTTAATCAGCTTTATTTATGTGTGTTTTTTTCTTTTGCTCTTTCAAAACAACTAACTTATGGTCAATACTATTAACTGAAGGTTTATACTTTATTATAGAAGGAACTATAAGAATTGATTGAAAATCTATGAAGTCAATTTTTCCCCTGAATTACTTTCTCTTTTTCCTCATCCCTGATTCATTTCCTAAAAAAAAAAAAAAACTATGTCAGTGTTTTTAATTACCTTTAAACTAGTCTATCCAAATAAGACATAGAAGCCAATAATTCTTCCTGCTTTTGTATATGTGGAACAAGCAGCATAGAGTCGAGCAAGGGGACAAATGAGACATAGTAGACAGCAGAAAAAGTTTCGTTTCATTTTGGCATCTATTTTTAGAATATGGTTGCATTATTCTTTTTAAAATATGAGTTGTGCCAATAGTCTAATAAATACATTTTAAATAGTTTCAAAGACAAATATAAAATAAATTTTATATTATGAATAATTGAATTTTTATCATTTTATATTATGCACATTACTATTTATATTAGTGCAAGTAATGATTTTATGTAACATCATCAGCGTGTGCAATTCAATTAAATAGTTATTGTATAAAGAAGATAATAACTCTAGGATCTCCGCTGCATGTGCATTGCACGTGCAATGATCGATGGGGCATCAAATATAACATTAAAAAAAAACAAAATGTTGTAGTCAAGTCAATTCCAACTCATAGTGACTCGATAGGACAGAGCAGAACTGCCTCATAGGGTTTCCAAGGCTGTATCCTTTACAGAAGCAGACTGCCACATCTTTCTCCTGTGGAGTGACTGGTGGGTTTGAATCACCAACCTTTCAGTTAGCAGCTGAGCACTTAACCACTGTGCCACCAGGGCTCCTTAGATACAACGTTGTGTATATGAATGTTTAATAACCTACATTTCATGCTGTATTCATTAAGATAGCTATTGGTGCTACATGGAATTCATATAGTAATTTTGCATGCAACTTCTGAGGAAATGTGAAAATTATATGGTGTGAATAAGATCAGGATATATAAATACTTCTGAGCCTGGAAACACCACGAAGGTTGTCTGAACTATCACACTATACAATATTCCCAACATTCCCCATTAAAAATTATTTTACGAGGGTTTTATAATATTGATATTTAACATTAACTTTACTGCTTTGTTTTTATGATACGGCTTTTTATACTTGTTTGCCTCCACGCTTCATCTCTATGACTACGCTTCTCTCAATACAACCATTTTTATTTCTTCCATCCATTCTCTTTATATATATGTATATACGTGTATATGTATTTAGTATATATGGAATGCATATATAGGTACATAGAAGATGTATATAGATCAAGTATATGTATATGAAAAATATGCAAGTGTAAATGGTATGTATATATCCATATGGAGGACATATATGGTGATGCAGCGGTTAAAGCGATTGACTGCTAACTGAAAAGCCAGTGGTTCGAAATCAGCGGCTCTGCAGGAGAAAGATGTGGCAGTTCTATGGGGTTGCTATGAGTCAGAATGACTCAATGGCAGTGGTTTGGTTACGGAAGATATATATATATATATATGAAAACATACGGAAGGTATATATTTATGTATAGAAGATATATGACTGTGTGTGTATATAGAAAATGTTTATTTATTGAATATTTATATGTCTATGGAAGATCTTATATGTTTGTTTGTGTGTGTGTGTGTGTATACATATATACTCATGAATTACCTTTATCTAAAATACCACAAATTAATGGTCTCTGCTAGTATCTTTTTCTTTTCCTTTTTTGTCTTTTTCCTCTTCTCTTCTCTTTTTTTTCTTCTTTCCCTTCTTCCTTCCTTCCCTGTCCCATGGTCCACCTCCTCTCCCTTTCCCATGTTCTTCTACATTTCTTTCCTTCTTTCTCTTTTTCTTCTTTCCTGCCCATTCTTCCTTCTTCCATATTTTCTTTCCACTTTTTTCTCTTTTCTTCTTACCTCCTTCCTTCCTTCCTTTGTTCCTTCCCTCCCTCCTTCCTTTTTATCCTTTTTTACAGAATGGGATTATTTTATGTCATGGTTTTCTTTTAACCACATTCTTGTATGTTAATTAATAATAGTAAAGGCATATCCATCATTGGGGATATTTGAAATTAGATACTCTATGATTTAAATGATAATTTTGTACTTTAACCAGTGAGTCTATACTTGCCAGTGAATTTCTTAAATGTATATTTGTAGCAAGTTAAAAACCAAATAACTTCATTATTAACATTTGAGAAAAGTTTAAAAAATACAAGATGACTATAAAGTAATATGGTTTATTAAAAATATAGCAAAACATAAATATATTTGACTCTTATAACTAGGGCTTGAGTGGAGGCAAGGAAAGCCAAACATTGGAAAACCGTAGCTAAGTGACGAAGACCTGTAGGTTCAGGCCAAGTCCTGGTAGTCTAGGCATTCTATGGGTTAATATTTAGAAATGAATATACTGAGCAGATGAGAAGTTTTGTCCCTGTGATCCCATATTACCCCAGGTATGCTTGGGATAAGTGATAAACTGAGATCTAAAAGGCAGGCTAGCAGTAGAAGTACAAATCAACACAAACTTTGACATAATAGCAGCTTGATAGCAGGTATCAAGTTTGCTATCCAGGGAGATGGACCATTTAGATCAAAGGCAAGACACTAGTTGTCTAAGATATAAATGCATGGACCACGCATTGAAAGGCATAGGAAGAGAGGCATAATTGTAGAAGAGTTGGGGTCACAAAAATTATAGTGAACCCAAAAGGATGACAGCCTATTTTCATTCTAAACTGCTGCTTAAGTAGGGCTCCTTCTGTTTCATTTCCTAGTCTTACTGAAACTAGGAAGTTCCAGAACAAGAAGTGGAGTGATTCCGCAAACGGGATATGTGTTATGTTGGTATAGCAACGGAGGTTACGAGGCTGAGTCTGGCCACCAGGTAGACCATTACTCCATGTGAAAGCTGGCCCCTCCAAAGGCCATTCACTTATTTCTTGTATACTGTTATTGTTCAAGACCTTTTACAAGCCCTTATTGAAAATAGTAATAATAATGAAAATAATAATAAAGCAATGGCTACCATTTTTAGGTGTTTACTATGTTCTAAATATAACATCACATTATTTTACATATCTTGAGAGCAGTTTTCTGAAATAATTACTATGCTCATTTTACATTTGAGGAAACAGATTGAAAGAAGTAATTCAACCTTAGTTACACAACCAAATTTCAGTATTTTAAACCATAGAATTTGTCCAAGTAAAAGAATAAGAAAAGTCACTATTTGATTTCTTAATATTTGTAATAGCAGAATTTGAATCATGTTACTGTATCTTTAAAAAGAAAACTTTCAATAAAAATCCATTAACTACTTTCAAATATAGCAATCCTCCTGTCCAGCTGTGAAAAGTACTAGATGATACTTATTTGTCATTTGTGTTATTTACGGTCCATGACTTTTATGGTAACTGGTTCCTATTATTGGTTTCTATTAATGTAAAACATAAGTGCACATAAATGAGGCGTGAATCATTTCTTTTTATTAGCCCCACAGTCTTCACTCAGTGCTTGCAGCAACTCCAGCTGTGTCTTGTTAGTGATAACCTGTTTAAAAAAGAGATCTTTAAGAATAAGGAATATGATCAGAGATGTATCACTCCTCTCCTAGCACAGCAATAATGGTGAAAGAAAGAAAACAATATATAATTAATGGCACAGGAAAATCTCGAGCAGCCCCTGGTTTGTGTTGTGCTTAGAGTGATGCTAATTATACAACCAGTGTGTCTTAGTCATCTAGTGCTGCTGTAACAGAAATACCACAAGTTGATGGCTTTAACAAACAGAAATTCATGCTCTCACGGTTTAGGAGGCTATAGAAGTCCAATTTCAGAGCACCAGCTCTGGGGGAAGGCTTTCTCTATCAGATCTGGGGGAAAGTCCTTGTCTCCTTTCAACATTTGTTGGCCCAGCTTTCCTTGGAAATCTGCGTATGTCTTGGCATCAATCTTTCTATGGGTCTTGGAGGTTCTCAGCACAGGGACCTCAGGTCCAAAGGATGTGCTCCACTCCCAGCTTTTTTTTCTTAGTGGAAGTAGGCCCCTCCCTTTATGCTCCCTTCTCTCTCCTGTATCTCTTATAAGATAAAATGTGATGTAGACCACACTGCAGGGAAGATCCCCTTACAGTGGCCTGAGTAAAGGTGTTGCATCCCACCGTAATCTTGATTAACATGACCTAATCCTGCCTCATTAACACAATGGGCAGCTCACTCCCAAACGGGACCATAACCACAGGCAAAGAGGCTAGGATTTACAACGCATCACAAAATGGAGGATAATCAGATCACAAAATAGAGGACAACCACACAATACTGGGAATCATAGCCTAGACAAGTTGACACATATTCTTGGGTAATGCAACTAAATCCACAACGTGGTGGATTCTAATAACCAGCATCAGTAAGTAATAACTTAAAAGTAGGATATGCTGTTAAGTTATGACACAGTACAGCTATGGAATTTCCTCTGCTATGTATTTATGCCATTAAGTTGTTACTATTCAATATCAGAGTTATTAGACAATGGAGTTTAGAATTTTAAATAAAGAACACTTAATTAAAAACATGACCCTTCTAGATTTTAGGGGCCACCAATTAAACTATGTGGTTTGCCATTCACCTAAAAGCTTTAATTTCATTAAAAAAATACTTGCTCCCTTATTCCTATTTATAGGGGGGCTTTTTGGAAGCTATGCTCAGAATTTTCTTTTAATAGTTTTACTTACTTAAAAAAGGAGAGGCTTTTTAAAATTGTATTAGAAGAAGTGTGCTTCCTTAAATTAGAATACAAAGCAACATATAGCTACAAGTTTCCCAGTCATAGCACCAATATTCTTTTAATATAATTGGGGAAAATTTTGTTTGCTTTAAAACCCATTGAATGTAATCACTTTTACTTGAGAGAAACTTTCTTGAAAATACGTGACATTCTTCTGTCATATTCTTCCAAACTCAGAGAAGAACAAATTGCTTTTCAAAATTAATTTAGTGAACTTACCATACTTTGTAGATATTCACCACGCTTGGTCATCAATAACGTGTCACAAATGCTGCGTAATAAAATGTTTACCTTATCCCGTGCTTTTCAGGGGCCCTTTCGTGACATCGCTGAAGTACTGCAGCAACGCTACAAGCCTTTGGAACCAACCCTGCGGGTGGCAGAACCAATCAGTGAGTCAAAGGACGCCAGGGAGGCGTTCAGAAGAGAGGAATGGGCGCGCAACATAAACGATAATATGTGAGTTCTTGGGTAAAAATGATATCTGTAGGATGTTTGACACCTTATGTTTGTTCGTCCTTTCTATTGCCTAATGAAAAGAATCTTTTATTTGTGATAAAAGGCAAAGTGACCCTTGATCTATTCAGAAGCAACCATCTTTTAACATGCAAATGCTTTAGATAAGGTCAATATTGATGGTGAACTAAAATAATTAATATACTACTCAACTGAGAAAAATAAGAATGGATGGCATTTTAAAGGGGATAAGTGGCCACTGTTCATGCATTTGAAAAGATAATTTCCTTGATTATTTAGGGAAAGCATACATATTTATGAGGCTTCTGAAACAAGATCTTAGAAAACAAAAACATTTTTCTTAACATGGACTAGATTTCATTTGAATATACTGATATAACATGATATACCAAAAAACATGGTAGTTTCTAGAAATCAGGAGCAATGAAAGAGGTTGGTTTCTTTATGACTGAGAAAGATGATTGAGGAAGATGAAGGATTATCTAATAGCATTGCAACTTTAAATTATATTATTAGCATTACTGATTTGGGGCTCAATTCGTGTCTTTCCCTAAGGCACTTCCTCTCTCTTCAGGCACTGTCCTCAATAGAGTTACATGTGATTTATAAATAGACCATTTAAAATCTAGAATGGCTTCATGTTTGTTATTATTCTCCTATGAGGTAGTTTATAATTACTTTTAATGTATCTCATAATAATTATTTAGTATTACTAACATACTATATAATAGTAAGATACAATAATTATAACATTAGTTATAATTATAATAAAATGATTTAATATAATATAAAGTATAAATCGTTTTATAATGACAACATGTAATATACAATTATTATTGTTATTTACATAGTATGTACTGTCAAATTATGTTATATAATAATGATCTCTATAATAGCTATTGTATTATGTAAATGATATATTTATATCATTATATAAATTAACAATAATAATAATTACAAAATACGTTACAAAGTGTATCTTATTATATACAAAAACTAGAATTACCTGTCATCTACCACAGTGAATTTTGAATCATTTTATCAGTTAGAAGGGTTATATAATATTCTTTATTTGGTATAGTACAAAGTATATGAAAATAATCATACATTTCTGAAAAGACTCTTGAAAAAATTTTCACATAAATTCCTATCAAAGATAAAATTGATAAGCATCTTGAGTAATTTTTATAAAGATTTTTATTTTGTAGCAATTACTTGAAGTAATTATCTTTAGAGTGTTCAACAGATTCTTTTAATAATCCACTGAGTAAATTCAACATAAGAAGAATAAGAAAACAAGAAACATTTTTTTCCAATTAGTTTTGGGCAGGTGGATTCTTCTTACTAAAGAGATTACAGAAGATTAATGCTGCTCAGACTTAGTCAAGCAAAACATGCAATTCAGTGATGAATGTCTAAGGAGTTACGTTACTCAGAATTATTTTCCTATTTTCAGTGATGCAAAGGTTTATGAAATAACAAGACTAACTTCTCAAAGAAATTGACCACATTGATATTTCTACAGAAATCATTATATATGAAAAATACTGAAGTATCCTTTATTAGTATTTTCCTTCATAAGCCTAGAAAGATCAGATATCAATGTTATCCCCAAAGAAAGGTGCTCAACTTAGAGTTTCTGTGGAACACTTATAAATATCTTCAACTTCTGTGGTGTTGCTGATGATGCATTACCCTGAAGCTTTCAGAAATTGAAAAGTGCTCTTAGGTTTATCAGCCAATCAGGAACAAGTCAAGTTGTGAATGCTGAAGAAATGATTTATAGATTTGAGGTTATCAAATTTTTTGCAACTAGGCTAAGCAATTGATCTTGGCAACAAAGTTAAGGATAGTTTCATTATTCCGAGAATCGAAACACTGATATTTTGTAGCTTCTTCTGAAACCATTTTGGTTTGAGAATGATGGGTAACATGTTAACCTTATCATGTATAGCAAAAGAAGTGTTAGCAATTTACGTTTTGTTGTTGTTGGATGCCGTTGAGTCGGTTCCGACTCAAAGTGACCCTATGCACACAGAACCAAACACTCCCTGGTCCTCTGCCATCCTCACAATCATCATTATGCTTGAGCCCATTGTTGACAATCCATCTTGTTGAGGGTCTTCCTCTTTTTCACTGACCCTCTACTCTACCAAGCATGATGTCCTTCTCCAGGGACTGATCCCGCCTGATAACATGTCCAAAGTACGTGAGACAAAGTCTCGCCATTCCCCCTTCTGTGATAGAAATTAGGAAAAAGATATTCTCTTCCCACAGAGATGGATAATTTTTTAATGTACAGTGTTCCTTCTGCAACATTCCCAATATTACCTGTAAGGAACTGAAGGCAGTATGTTTGCCATCCAAAGGCCTTAAGCAGGAACACTAATCCTAGGAAAGAAGCCTTTTGCTTTTAATCTGTAGGGCTCAAAGGGTGACGTTATATTAGAGTATTTGGATACACTTAGCTATTTTGTTTTGGTGTCATTATGAAAAACGCGTTGTGTTATAGTAGTAGGAGTATGGGCTTTGGGACTCCATCTCTGTGTGCTCAGATCATGGCTCTATTGCACACCAGCAGTGTGATCTTGGGGAAGTTACTTAACCTTCCTGAGCTTCTAGTTCCCTGACTGTAAGAGGGATAGAAATGTTATTTTAAAAGGTAGTGATGTGGATTGAGTGAAATAATGAGTATGGCTTCATTGCTGTTAGTTGCTGCCAGTCAGCTCTGATTCCTGGTGATCTTATGGATGGCAGAACAAAACGTTGCCAGGTCCTCTGCGCTATCTTCATGATCACTGGTGTTTGAGTCCATTGTTGTGCCAGGTCCTCTGCGCTATCTTCATGATCACTGGTGTTTGAGTCCATTGTTGTGGCTGCTGTGGCTCTCCACCTACCTGACTCTTTATTTTAACAAACATGGTGTCCTTTTCTAGTGCTTGCTCTTTCCTGATGACGTGTCCAAAGTGAGCAAGGCAAAGTCTCGTCATTGTTGCTTCTAAGGAGCATTCTGGTTGTATTTAGGTTCTTAATAAAAGGTAACTATTAACAGGCTCTGTGTTTGCTACAGATAATAATTCTGCATTTAAGACATCAAACGAGGGGCAGGAAATCACAGACTCCAGAGGTGGACTGGATTTCATCCGCCAGGCGGTGGAACTAGTGTTAAGAAGGACCACGAGCACAGCTCTTCTGTATGCCACGCGGTGTTCTAACCTCATAGAAGATTCCTCGTTATGCTTCTGACAGACAAATTCGGGTTTGGGAATATATTCCTAGGTAGCTATGAGAGATGACAAAATGCATCTCAGTAATCACAGGCTGATGGGTTAGAGCTGTTGTCTAGATATTTAAAATGGGCATAGGCAGTAGGAGAATGATAATTTATACAGAGATTGTGGATTACAGAGGTTTTTTTGGAAGTCATTTTAAAAGATACATTTGTTTTTGTTCTTAAAGAGACTCATGCCCTTTTGTCATGTCTTTTTGTAGTCCTTATTCACATGTCTGTATTTAGGAATCCAGGAAATTAAATAAGCAATTAATAAACAATTGTCAAGTACTTCCTATGTGGGAAGCCCTGGTGGCTCAGTAGTTAAGAGCTCGGCTGCTAATCAAAAGGTCGGCAGTTCGAATCCACCAGCCGCTCCTTGGAAACCCTATGGGGCGGTTCTACTCTGTCCTATAGGGTCGCTATGAGTTGGAATCAACTCAACAACAATGGGTTTGATTTTTGTTTTTTTCCTTATGTGGCGAGCTCTCATCCAGATATTGCGAGAAATAAAAAAGGAGTATTTATTGATTTAACAATGTTTGCATGTCAGAAATAGTTTTAGGCACTAGAGATATAAAAAACCCCATTGTCACTGAGTTGATTCCGACTGGCAGCGACCCTATAGGACAGAGGAGAGCTGCCCCATAGGGTTTCCAAGGGGTGGATTGGAAATTGTTGGATTCGAACTGCCGAACTTTTCTTGGTTAGCAGCCGAACTCTTAACCATTCTGCCATCAGGGCTCCCACTAGAGATATAGCAGCGAATAAAATAGACAAAGTGCCCGCTCTCATGGAACTTACATACTCCTTTTTTTTTTTGCCATTTAATTTTTTAAAAATTTTTTAATTGTACTTTAAGTCGAAGTTTACAGTTAAAGTTAGTTTCTCATACAAAAATTTATATACACATTGTTATGTGACCCTAGTTGCTGGGCCTATAATGTGACAGCACACTTCTCCTTTCCACCACTGATTTCCCGGGTCCATTTAACGAGCTCCTAACCCTCTCTGCCTTCCCATCTCACCTCCAGACAGAAACTGCCCGTTAGTCTCTTATATCTACTTGAGTTAAGAAGCACTCTCTTCATGAGTATCATTTTGTGTCTATAGTTCACTGTAATCTATGTCTGAAGAGTTGACTTCGTGCATTGTTTCAGTTCTGGGCTAACAGTCCGAGGACCATGTCTTCCGGGGTCCCTCCAGTCTCAGTCAGACAATGAAGTCTGGTCTTTCTACTAGAATTTGAGTTCTGCACCCCACTTGTCTCCTGCTCCGTCAGGGACTCTCTGTTGTATTCCCTGCCAGGGAAGTCATTGGTGGTAGCTGGGCACCGTCTAGTTCTTCTGGTCTCAGGCTGATGGAGTCTCTGGTTTATGTGGCCCTTTCTGTCTCTTGGGCTAGTATTTTCCTTGTATCTTTGGTGGTCTTCATTCTCCTTTACTCCAGGTGGGTTGGCACCAGTTGATGCATCTTAGATGGCCGCTTGCTAGCTTTTAAGATCCCAGACGCCACTTACCAAAGTGGGATGCAGAACATTTTCTTAAACTTCGTTATGGCAGTTGACCTAGATGTCCCCTGAAACTATGGTCCTCAGACCCCCGCCCCTACTACTCTGTCCCTCAAAGTGTTTGGTTATATTCCGGAAACTTCTTAGCTTTTGGTTTAGTCCAGTTGTGCTGAATTCTCCTGTAGTGAGTGCTGTCCTTCC